CGGCCGGGGGGGGGGGGGCGTGTGGTCACCGCCACTGGGGCCCAGGCCGGGCCCGCCCTGGATCGGCGCTGGCGCACGCCTGGCTCCCAGACATCCGCCGCCGTGACTGTTGCTCGCAACGTGGAACCCCCAGAAATCTGGACCTCCTTGACTACCTACCAGACCACCCCAACCCAACCGCAAGACCGAATTTCGGGATGGGGGGTGTACGGGCTTCATATAGGTTAGTTCCCAATGTTTCCCGACCCCCCCCAACCACTGGGAATGGAGGGCAAATTGGTGTCCTTGGGTTTGGTTGGGGTGCTTTGGTGGGTGGTGACTCCTCCCCCGAGACCAGCTTTTCCTCCCCCCTGTCGTTTTGTTGACGGTCCTGTATCCTGGCGCGGACCACCAGACGCCCAAAACAAACAAGAGTCGTGAAGTTTGAAATCGTACTGTGGTCTGTTTGTGTCCTGGTTCAGTCGTGGATGGGGCGCTTCATTTTCCGCCTCACAGTCGTGCAGGGCTCCGTTGTTTCTGCCTCACAGTTGTGATGCGCTGCGCTCTTCGGCTTCGCACTCTTGATCATTAGCCCAAAACTCCGCGCCGAAGGCTGGCGCATGGCACGTACGGCATTAGAGGTTTGGCGTACACACACGACAGGCTCGTGTCGTGACGGCCCCTCCCTGCGCTGGTGTCTGACACCGCGAGGATCGTTCAACCTGGAACGATCGGCGGCGTTTCGATCGCCAGATCGCTCCATCTTGGCCGATTCTAGGCCGCTAGCGGCGGTATAAACCTTGAACGCCCGCGGCGGGGTCGCCGCCGCGTCGACACGGCACGAACCGAGCGCAGCTGGCGCCCTCCGGCCTCACCGAGCCACGGCCAATGCTGCGCAGGTTCTCCGCGGTCAGCAGCGGGGCGGCCGCGGCGCTGTCGAAACGCGGGCGCTGGGAGGACCCCCGCGAGTCCTGAAGGGTAGCATGAATTGGGGGGCCACCGCAGGGGGGAGGGGAACGGAACGGAACTATCGCCTTTTTTGGTCATTGAACGTTTCACTACAGCGAACTTGGAGCACTCTCTGCAGCGGACCGCTGGGGCTACGCACGCTGGGCCAAATCGTCCCTTTCGAAAACGGCGGAGGAAAGGGTTTGTTAACCAGGGCCGCCCACAACCCTGAGTCGGCGGCGAGCGAGGAGGGAAGCGAGATGGGGCGGGACTTCTCAGAAGGCTCGGAAGTCCCCCGGCCTTCTGAGCAGTCTTCTGAGACTTCCCCGAAGACAGACAAAACAACCTCTCAGAAGGTGCGAGGGCTTTTGAGAAGTCACGCAGCCTTCTGAGAAGGCCTGCTTCTCATGTTCCCCCTGGCTCGCCATCGAACCTCAGGGGGGAAGGGAACGGAACGGAATGGAACGGAATCTGGCGCAAGGTTTTTCCTCTCTCACGCTTTGTTATTCAACGCTGCTTTAACTACAGCAAGCGAACGTGGAGCTGGCCACGCCTGGCCAAGGCAGCCCGTTTGGAAACGGCTGAGGAAAGGTGTTGCAAACCAGGGCCTACAAACCCGAGGTGGGGCTGCGCAGAAGTGCCAGATTGCGAGGCGGGGAGTTATCCATATCCACCGCCTGGGAACTGACGTCCTGGTGCCCCAACGGGCGGTGGATATCGACATATGTTAGCCCCCGGGGGCCCAAATATATCCATATCCACCGCCTGCCGAGGTACTCGAAAATTAATCCTCCAGGCGGTGGTCATGTGTAAATTTCCGCCTCGGACAAATCCAGCACAGGCAGCGATGGCCCGAGGGGGGAAATTCCGCACAAGACTCCACGCGGGAGCTGCCTTGAAATGCCGAAGCCCGCTCTCATGTGCTGGTGCAGTCGACTCTCAGACGGCCCCACACCTGTTTGACTTCGCAACCTGCACCCAGTCGTCGCAACCGGCGGTTGTCAGCACATGTTTTTCGATACCACCTGTCCACCGAGTCTTGGGGCGCCCTGGGCGTCGGGGAGCATCGAGCCTGTATCCACGAAAGCGGCGCGATGGCGGAAAAAAAGGGCCAGGGGTGACGTTGATGCCGCAATTGCGGGCGGCGGACACGAGAGCCCCGTAGCGCAAAGCCCTAGCAACACCCAAGAAATGTCATGGCCCAATTGGCCCAAGGTGATGCCTGGGTTGTTCGAAATCGGCCGAGCACCTGAGCCCAAATGGCCAAACATCGGGCAAAATGAGAGGAGACACTTCCGTGTTGGCACACGGGGGTGAATCAGCGATGAATGGGCGATAGAGCGGCGATAGGCCCCCGACTTCGAATCCGCACGTTCCTGGGCGGGGCGGGCTGCTGGCCCCTGTCAGCGATGAATGGGCGTTTGTGGGTCAGTGTATCCCCACCTTCGGTGGCAACTCGTGGGAGCCTCCCATGCCGTCTTGCTGCCTCTTGCGAATCGACGCAAATCGAAACTAAGCGACGCTAGTCGACGCCAAATCGAGGCTAGTCGACGCCAAATCGGCGCTTTCTGATCGATGACCAGACGCTAGCACACTCGAATGCACTCTTAAGATGGAATCGCGAGGACACGCAGGGTTCCCATGAGTTGCTACCTGCCTCGCTTTTCACCACCTTCGCTTCCAAACGGGAACCGAGCGATACCAAGCTACCCGTGGGGTGGCTCGCAACGGCCAGGCTGCTTGGCGAGGAGACGCGTGGTATGACCTGGTTCTGCCTGGAAGTGACAGTGGGGTTGCGAGGCGGGGATTTATCCAGATCCACCGCCTGGAAACCGGCGTCGTGGTGCCCCTGCGGGCGGTGGATATGGATGGATGTTGGCCCCCGGGGGCCCGACTATATCCAGATCCAGCGCCTGTGGAGGTCCGCGAAGATCGATCCCCCAGGCGGTGATTACGGATAAACCCCCGCCTCGGAGGGGTAGGCAACCCACCCTGTGACTAAGCCTATACTAGGAGCTCGAGCACAAGAGACCTTCCACAAGACACCCAACCCTGAGACCCCAGGACGCCCGTTGACCCAAGAAGCGCAGGGCTCCCTGGAGGCAAGCAGTGTGTTTCTCGGCGTGGGATTCCACCGCGGGCCTCCCCCGAGCGCTGCCCCCCCCCCCCCCCGGTCCGCGGAGGCACCCGAGGCCGTCTTCACCACGTCCGGCTCGGCGCCCGCGCGCGACCTCTCGGAAGGAGGCCCCCTCGAGGCCACGGCGGCCCTCCCCGCCGTGCCTCCGCGGGGACGCACGAGGACTCGCAGTCGACCCGCACAGTGAGGATGCGCAGGAGGGATGCGAGGTCCTCGGACGCCCCTGCTGAGGCTCCTCGAGCGGGGCTGGCCCTCGAAGGTGGTCGAGGAGGAGGCCAGGATGCAAAAGTACCCTTGGGAAGTCGATCATCCTTACTACGCGGGTCGACTTCACAGGAGAAACCCAGGGTACCCTGGCCCTAGAAGTGACTTCCCAGGGCGTGAGAAGGAAATGCGCGCGGCGCGGTAAGGGGAGAGAAAACCAAGGTGCCCTGGGCGCAGCAGTGTCTTAACGATCGGAGGGAAGTCACCGCGCATCACTGGAAACGAGAAAACCCAGTGCACCCTGACGAAAACCATACGGTGTCTTGGCGTACGTCCCCACCGTACTAGTACTTTGCGCCCTCCTCGGAGGCACCCTTCCGGACCGAACATATGGTACACACGTCTCACAGCAGATCGTTTCCCGGACAGTATGGCCAGAAGGCGTCCGCCACGGAGCTTCTACTGGAAGATGATCGGGCGAGCACGTCGCACACATATCGTATAAGTATGTGTCGGTGGTGCCGGTTCTCAGGCCTTCCTGTGGCCTCTGGAAGGCTCCTCGTTACAACGGCCGGATCCGCCTCGGAGAATGGATCAGGATAGACCCCAGGACGTGATCGATATCGTTGTTATCGTTATATGATTCGTTGTCATTGTTATCGTTGTCGTTGTTATCGTTATTATTGTTATAGTTGTTACCGTTGTCGTTGGTGTCGTTGTCACTGCTATCGTCGTCGTTGGGATCTGAGTCGGGTGGGAAAGCCACAAACCCTGGGCGCTCCGCACAGATGTCTTGGTTCGACACAGGGCGCCCCCCCCTGCCTGGAGCGGGGCGAGCGCCAGGGGCGGCGACAAGGGGGCGCCGCAAGGAGGGAGGGGGCGCCGATCCACGAAAAAGGCGCGCGGACCTCCAAATGTTTATATGTTTGTGCCGTGTTTGCACTTTGGCGCAAATCCGAAGCCCTGGCGGACCAATGGTGGGCCCAAAAATGGAAACAAAGCGAAAACTGAGATGGTTGCGTATGACTGCCCATGCTGGACATAAACTGACAACTCTGTCGCAGCAGTGCTCATCATTAGCCATGTCTACATCGCAGAGCGGGGGGTGGGGCTGGGAGAAGAGGGATGTCACTCCTTGACAAAAACCGTGCCCCAATGCGTGGCAACCGCGATCGCCGCGACGAACTCCAAAACCGACCCAGAGGCTGGGTCCGGGGTCGGATATCGCGAAACGAGGGGAGAAAATATCCACGAGTTTGCAAAGACAACGTCTTGGTCGATCGGCGATCTGCTGACTCGGGTCCATCCAAGCCTCGGTCAGTCGGGCCTTGCAGGATCCTGCAAAACGCTGCGAGATCCTGTAGGACCCTGCAAGACCCCGCACCCAAACCTGGGCCAGTGCGCCCCTGGCCGTGCAGGATCCTGCAAGAGCCCGCGTTCTGGCTGACCCCCGTTTGCCGTGACCCTTGTCTCTTGCGCCCCGAGCCGAGCCCTGCTCGACCTCGTGGGAGACCGCGAGGGCCCGCGCGAGGAGCCCGCATTGGTGGAGGCCCTCTGCTGGATGGCGTCGCCCCCCGGCGGCCGCAGGCTCGGCCCGCCGTGGGTCGCCGGCGGGTCGTGCCTGTGAGGGGCAGCGGCAGGGAGGGGGGGGGCTGGTTCGGGGGGAGGGGCTCGGGGGGGGGGGGGGGGACTCGGGGGGGGGCTGGCTCGGGGGGGGGAGGGAGGTGTCGGCCTGCGCTCGGCGAGGCATCGCCGATGGATCGGCGATGGGCCCCCGAAGGTGAGTCCGCGTGGTCCTGGGCGGGGTGGGCCATGGGCCCCCTATCGGCGACCAGTTGGCAATTTCGGGGGTGATGCGTCCCCCCGCCCCCCGAGCCTATCCCCCCTCTGACGTTGCCCCCGAACCTGGTGTGCAGCTCGTCCGCCGAGAAGCTGCTGAAGAGCTGGGCCAGGAGCGCCTCGTCGCTCTCCTGGGCGCCCCCCCCCCCCACGCGGGGCCACAAGCAAAGGATCCACTACCGAAATGATTTACCTCAAGACTGGTGTCCCGTCGATTCTACGGAAAATACGCAGAATGTCCCGCAGATCTATTGAGCATCATGTGCATCTCAGGTGGGTTCGCAGGGAAAAAACATAATTTTGGGGTACATATATTAAGTAGTTGATCCCCTACTCGAAGAACGGGGTCGGAGAATCACATCCCAGGACCCCTACCCTCCAGAAGAAGAGAAACATTATCAAACCAAAAACGGCGCGAGATGTTTTGTCGGGGCGCCCAAGAAGGGGGGGTCCAGAATCCTGGCCCGAGGCACGTGCGCGGCCCGGGGGGGGGGGGCCAGGGACGCATTGAAATCCGCCGATCCGGCGCGTGAGTTTCAAAGACACTATAGCCTGAGCCTCAGTTCTTTAGTTTCAGCTCTGCTGGAGGGGTGGGTGCCGGGTGGCGCTGCCGGGGTAGGGGGGTCCGAGTCAATTTTGGCGGCAGAATCGGAGCTCCAGCTCTCTCCGGGTCGGCCCCTCGCCCCAGAGAGCTCGAACGCGGGCTCATGAAAAAAAACCAGCGGTCGCCCAGACGGCCCGAGAGGGCCCTGGGTGGCCGAAACATCGCTCCAAGACAGTCGATATGTTCCTCTGACGGCTCCAGAAGGCTCCAACATGCCCTCCCGGCGCCTCCAAAGAGTGCCCAACGACGGAACATCTGTCCCATTCCCTTGGGGAAACGCACATGTTTTGCACGTTCGCTTCTTTGGCCTTCGCAATGTCCAACACGGCCCAAGAGACCCTCAAAACAAGCCCAGAGGCTCTCAAGAGTGCCCTAAGTCGGCCCAAGAAAGGCCCAAGACGGCCCTGGAGGCCCCCAAGACTGCCCAAGCGGGCCCCAGAACGGGCCCAAGAAGCGCCCAAGAGGGCTCCATGACGGTCCCAGAAAAGCCCAAGACGGCCCAAGAGGCACCCAGGACGCCTCAGGAGCCCCCAGGAAACCCCGAGAGGCTCCAAGTGGCCCTCAAGAGGCCTCCCAAGGGCGCCCAAAAGCGCTCCCGAAGGCTGAAAAATGACCCCCATTCGCGCACCCAGGAGGCCTCCAGGATGCCTCCTGCATGGCCCCCAAGAAACCCAAAAAGCCCCCAAGAGGCTCCACGATCACCTCCAAGACGCCCCCCAGGAGGCCTCGAAGATGCGTCGTAGAGGCCCCTTCAAGAAGCCCACGCAACGCCTCCAAGCTGTTTCCAAACCACGTTTGAACGAGCGCGCTGGGGCGAAAGCGCCGCTCTGACAGCGGGGTCGCCCTGGGTCGGCGGCAACGGCCGGAGGCCTCTACAATCAGAAAGGGCGCCATGCCCGGCCCCCGCAAACTCGAGGGCGGCCGAGCGGGCCCCGCTGGCGCCCGACAAAATTATCGGTTTTTGCGCGCGCGCACATGATATACTGCGTGGAGCTGCGCCCCCTGGCGCGAACGGCCGAACGACCCCTGTCGCGGGGCACTCTGGCGACGCGGCCGGCCGCCAAAATGGACGGGCGGAAAGCTCCAACATGAACGAACCATTCGCGAGTGGAAGGGGCGCAGAACGGGCACTTCAAGGCTTGGAGTCCCCTCCGCCATCCGCCTGTCCAAGCGCGCGAACTTCGTCGCGTTCGCCCGAAGCCTCTTGTCCTGCGGCTGCTCCCTCTCCAGCTCCTCGCCGCGCTCGCTCTGCCCCTTGGCCGACTCCCCCAGGACCGCTATCCACTCCTCGTCGTGGAGGAGCGCGTTCAAGTGGTGCAACAAGGCTGGGTCCGCGCGCAGGATTCCGCAGGCGCCAGCCAACGACTGCTCGACCGCCGCCTCGCCCGCGCGGCTCAGGCTGGAGAGGATGGCCGCGGCCTCCTCGTCAGCGGCCCGCGGATGCCCCGGCTGCGCGGGAGCGGGGGGCCTGGGCGGGCTTCGCGGGAGACGAGCTGGCCGGGCGCCGAAAGGCTTTGCCGCCGCACTGCGCTGGGGCAGAACGGCCGCAGATGACGAGATGAATCCACCGCGCGGGACAGGGGCGGCGGAGGGAGACAGGGGAGATGGACGCAGCGAGAAGAGGCGAGAATGCTCACGCTGATGGATGGACGAGCGGGCCCCTGCACCACAGAGCGGACAGCAAGAGGAGGCAGGGGCAGGAGGACAGAGGGTCATCTGCTTTGCTTTCGAAAGCAGGAAGGAGAGAAGAGCAGGAGGCAAGGCGAAACGGCAGGGAGACAAAGGAACGACGAAAAGTGCGAAGGACAAAAATCACAAGGGGGCAAAGGTGCCTCGGCACCTGCGAACCCCTCGCCCCCCCCTGCCCTCCTGTGCTGTTTATGTTGTCCGCGTCGGCGCTCTCAGTGGGCGCCTCTGCGAGCCGCTCGTCTCCGGAACGCAACAGGCCTCGTGCACGTGCGCGCGCTGTCAACGAACCTACCCCTGGGCACTGCCGTGCCTCGCGGAGGCCCGACGCCATCCGCGCGCCAGCGCGGTTCGCAACGAGCGAACCGCGGGCGGAGAACATAGGGCAGCACAAGCTAGCCTGCGTCGGCGGCGGCGCAGGCGCGCCGCCGAAAACAGTGGAACTCAAGCGCGTCGCCGAACACGCCGCAGGCGCGTCGCCGCGGGCGCGTCGGCGCGTAGAGCCCAGGCGCGCCGCTCACGCGAGCTCCGCCTCGCGGAAGCGCTCGGCCAGCTCTGCCATGTCGATGGGCGCGCCTTCCCTGGCGAAGTCGAAATGGAACGTCCACGCCCACCAAATCGCTTCGCTGACCACGTGCTCGTAGCCCCGCTTCGTCCAAGACACAGGCTGCCACTCGTTCGTCGGCGGGCGCAGCGCCCCCCAGCGGCCGCCGTAGTCGCCCGCGTCAATGGCGGCACCTGGGGGGGCCCACTTCTGCATCCATGTCGTGACCCCCCCCGTGTTCGAGGCGCCCTTCTCGGGCGCCCAACGAGGGCCTCTCTTCTGAACCTCCGTGCACTTCGGAGCTGGGGCCTTCTTGAAGTACTTCTGCGCGCACTTATCGCGCGCGGCCACAGCGCGGCCCTTCTCTGCGCGCGCCGCCAACTGCGCAGCGCACTTCTCCACGGATAGCGCCCCCCCCCCCCACCACCACCACCACCCACCCACCCACCCACCCACCCACCCACCCCCCCACCCCCCCCCCCACCCACCCACCCACCCACACCACCCACCACCCACCCACCCACCCACCCACCCACCCACCCACCCCCCCCCACCCACCCACCCACCCACCCACCCCCACACACACACACACACCACACACACACACACACACACACACACACCACACACACACACACACACACACACACACCCACACACACACACACACACACACACACACGCACGCACGCACGCACGCCACGCACGCACGCACACACCACCACCACCACCACCACCACCACCACCACCACCACCACCACCACCACTCCGGCGCGGGCGCCTCTCCGAGCATGTCGGGCGGGGCGCGCAAGTCGGCGCCCGCGCCAGGGATCTCCCGCGCGAGACCGCGAGACAAACATTCGGGCGCCCCCCCCCTCCCCTGTCCGCCGCAGCAGGCTTGATCGCCGAAATCGTTGCCAGGATCAAGTCCGCCCCCCCGTGGATGCCCCCCCCCCAGCGCCAGCTGGGGCGGCCTTCCCCTCGCTCGCGCGGAGCCCCTTCCCCGGCTCCCTCGCCGACGAACGGGAAGCCCGAGTAAGCCTGCGCGGCCAGCAGCGGCTGCGGCGCCGCCGACGCCCCGCGCACCGAGCCGCGCGCCCTCGCACCCCTGAGGGCCCGAAAGAGGGCGCGCGCACGGGGGGGCGGGGGGGGGTGCGACGACGACATCGACGACAGGGGCGACGAGGAGGTGGGGGATGAACGAAGAGAAGAGGGAAAGCCGAGAAAAACGATGGGAACCAAGAGGACGGCGAGGACGAGGTGTAGGAGGAGGACGACGGGGAGCAGGATGAGGACGGCGAGAAGGCGGATGGGGGGCGAGGACGAGGATGGGGATTATGAGCAGCAGGTCAACGACGTGCACAACACCTGGGTTACTGTAATGATGGTTCGTGGGCAGCCGCACAGCCGCGCGCTCTTCGGCCCGCACGCGGCCGCGGACAACGACGTCTCCGTTCGAATGCGCGGAAGGAGGGAAGAGAGAGGGGGGGGGGGAGGCGGGGGGGGGAAGGGAGGACGGAAGAGAGAGGACGAACGAGGGAGGAACGGCGAGGGTGGAGGAGGAGCAGGAGGACGACAACGAGGGGGGCCAGGAGGATGGCGACGAGGAGAAAGAGGAACAAACAGGAGGAGGAGGAGGACGAGGAGGAGGGGAGGAGGAGGAGGAGCAAGGAAAAAAAAAAGAAAAGGAGGAGGAGGATGAGGACGAAGAGGACGGGGGGGGGGGGGAGGCAGACGAAGAGGGGGGGGGGCGAGCAGGGCGAGAAGGACGAGGAGGAGGACGAGGGACACGAGAACGAAAAAGAGAACCACGACGGCACCAGAGGTGGGAAACACGAGGCGGAGGAAGGGGGAAGGGAAGACGGAAGCCCGCGCACGAGGAGGAGGTTGGGGGGCGAGGACGAGGAGGAGGAGGAGGAAGAGAAAGAGGACATGGAGGAGGACGAGAATGCGCCGAAAGAGGAGAAGAACCAGGAGGACGAGCAGGACGTCGAGGACGAGGAAGCGGAGCAGGACGAGGAGGAGGAGGAGGAAACGAACTACGAGGACGAAGAGGAGGACGAGGCAAAGGGCACGAAGGAGGAAGAGGAGGACGAGGGCCAGGTGGAAGAGGAAGATGACGACGACGACGACGACGACGACACGGAATACTGAGGAACCGGACAGCGAGGACAAGGTCGACGACGAGGACGAGGGCCAGGCGACGGACGACGAGGACGAGGACGAGGAGGAGCAACGCTAGGAGAGGGAGAGCAGGGGGAGAAGGAGGAGCAGCAGCAGGAGGAGTAGGAGGAGGAGGAAGACGAGGAGGACGAGGAGGAGGAGGGGAGGAGGAGGAGGAGGACGACGACGACAATGACGAGGGGAGGGGGCTAGGAACACGAGGAGAACGCGCAGGAAAAGGAGGACGACGAGCAGGACAAGGCGCAGGCAGATGACCAGGAGGAGGACGAGGACGAGGCGGAGGAGGGGGAGCACGAGGAGGAAGACGACGAGGAGAACGGGTGCGACGAGGGGCAAGCGCAGGAGAAAGAGGAGGACGATCCGGAGGAGGCGGAGAAGAGGGAGGATGAAGAAAAATTTCATTATCCAAACTTTGGAGCTGCCGCCATTGGCTCAGTCACCGCCGAAACTTTTCCACACGTTGAGCTAGGACATGCCGCCCACATGGATGCCCTCTCATGTTCAGACCTACCGAGCATCTCTAACGACGGGGCCCAGTAAGCGCGACGAGTGGACATGGGAAGACAACGCGCGCTACGGCGAGCCTGCAAGAGCACGCGTACAAGAGACCCCCACTGCGCGGGAATCACCTGCACGTCGTCCGCGACGAACACCGTGTGCCACAAGAGTGATTTACAACTTCTGGCTTTTCGCCGCGCGCCCTCGCACCCCCCCTCGGCGGGCCAGCGCAACGCGGAGCACCGGCGCGTCTTCAGCGCGAAGGAACCCACCAGGCGGGAGGAACCCGGTAACCCAGGTGCCAGAGGTCCTGCTCGTGGAGCACGCAGAGGACCTGGAGCTCCGCGTTCAGGTTCTGCTCGCTCTCCGCTGCGAACGCCTTGAATATGTTCTCGCCCTTGATCTTCTCGGTCTTCTCGAGAAGCACGTCCCGCGACACGGCCGCGGCTTTCGCCCGGGGCGTTGCGCCGGGTGGCAACGCCCGGCTTTTCGCCGCCGCGCCCTCAAACGACCCCTTCACATCGCCCCCCTTCTCCAGGTGCAACTGCGCGCGCGGTTGGACCCCCCCCCCCGACCGAATACGCCAATGACCTCGCGCTTCACAATGGCGCCCCGCCGCGACAGGCCGGCCGCCGCCCCGGGGCGGACACGGGGGGGCGGCAACGCAATGGATGTGGAAGCGTTTGGGAACTGAGGACTCTCACCAAAATGCAAATGGGCAGGGAAGGCCCCCCCCAACACGACGACTACGCAACTTGAAATGTCTGCGTCGCTGCCTCGCCGCTCGCACTGACGCGGGCAATGCCGCGCGCTCCTGTGAGAGCGACAGACAAATCGATAGTGCGGGAGAGTGGTTCGGTCAGACAATGGAGGGGATGACAGGGCCGCTCTACACGGTGTGTTTTGTCAACTAGCCATCTTGCGCCATCGCCGCGACGTCTGGGGGCGGGCGGGCGAGGGCACGAGAGCCCCGAAAAGATAAGCATAGAGTGAGCGAACGAAGAACATTGTGAAAACAAGCACCCCTCAGGAGCGGAGGCATTGGGCTGGCGCAGGGAGGCGAGTGAGGCTTGAGTCGCAGTGGTTGCGGACCCGCCCCCCCCTCCTTCACGTGCACGCACCCCCAGGAGGGGATGACAGGGCCGCTCTACACGATGTGTTCGGTCAACTAGCCATCTCGCGCCATCGCCGCGACGTCTGGGAGCGAGCGGACGAGGGCACGAGAGCCCCGAAAAGATAAACATAGAGTGAGCGAACGAAGAACATTGTGAAAACAAGCACCCCAAACCTCCCGATCCGAAGGTGGAGTGAAGTTATCAAATGCTATACTCACTGCGAGCTTTCGAGACCAAGACGGATGCCAGCACGTGGGCCAGGCGAGCGGGGCACGGCATTGCTAGCACCGTCCAGCGAATTCCTTTAGGCCCCCCGCCTTCTAGGTGCTGGCGCGGGCGCCCCGTGCGGCTGCAGACTCCACGCCCCGAGCAGACCCGATTAAGCTTCACAAGGTCGTCGGGGCAAACATTACCGACCAAAAAACGAGTCCTCTTTCGCCACGGTTCCCTCCATTGGCAGAAATCAGTTATAACTTGAGCGGCCCCACTACGTGCAACAAGAAACTTTGAGCTTGTGGTCGTGCCACATCTTAGATGTAAGCGGGTTCTCCAGAACCCAGGGGACCCCGGCGGATTGGGCAGCACGGGCCAGGTCACGAGCAGCGTCCAGCATGGCATTACCGAGAGCGACCTTGGCCACATCGCTGGCCTTTAGACCCGGGATCCCCCTGATAAACTTCCTAGATCGAATTGGACATGCACGATCTCGAGCAGCCGACCACGAGCTGCAGGGGGGGCAAGCATTAGGCCAATGCATCGGCCGTTGGCGAGGTCTTGCTTTATGGGTCTTCGGACCGCAGGGCGACAGAGGTCCCCCGCGGCGCCGTGGACAAGGTCCCACTCCCGAGCACTGAAACCGGCCAACCGAATTTTCTTGCTCACCACCCCGCAGCCCGAAAAACAATCCGCTACATATGTCTTACTCACACATGCTGGAGACCGAGGTTGAGCGGGCTTCACCTGCCGGGGCACACACCCGCGCGCAGTGACTCGCAGCATACGCAGTGGCTTCGCGAGCGGGCGTCCCGCTGGCCGAACTCCGGCCTCACTCGCGCGTGCTTCTCGCACCTGGCGACCGACTTGAACTTCCGCCCTTGGCCCCGCATCATCACCTCTGGGAGGCCCCGTAGCTGTCGCAGCCTGTCGTGCGAGGCTTTGTCGTGACGGTGCTGGTAGGGAACTAGCCTCCAGCCCCGCGTGGCACTGACAGTCTGCACGTCGGCCAACAGGTCCTGGTAGCTGAACGGGCAGGCCCGCTTCGTCGCTGGCGTGGCGCTGAGCTCCCGCCACACCACGCAGGGCCACTTCGGCCCCCTCGTGTCCAGCTGGAGGCCGTCGTTGAGCGCGCCCACCTTGGTCGGGATGCCCAGCTCCTCTGGCGCCAGCAGCCGGCTCCAGTGGCGGGACACGCCCCCCACCGGCGGCACGAAGTGCCCGCCCTTCACGCCGGGCAGCTCGGACGGCCTCAGGTAGCACAGGAGGCCCCACAGGATCGCGGCCGCGCAGCGGCGCTTGCCACGCTCTGACGGCCAGTGGCATACGGCTCCCCACACACACAGCGGCGGCGGATGCCGGCTCCGACCAGGGCATAGCCGCCGCCAGCCCCTCATTCCTCCCCACGCGCACGGGAGCGAGAGCTGGCCAACCTTCCCAGACTCCAAGAGGGCGCGCAGGACACCAGCCAGCAGCCTCTCCCCCACACTCGCCTCTTGTCCGGACAGGAACAGCTCTGCCTTGAGGATGTACAGCGCCCCATCCAGCTGGTTCGGCGGGCGGAGGTTCAGCCGCTTCTGCTTCGCCCAGTAGACGAACCTCGAGACCAGGAGGTGGTAGTACTCCCTGGTCTTTGGCTGCACGACCTCCGACTCGAGCAGGGCACCCAGCTGGCCCATGGCGCGCCGGGCGCCCATCGGGTACTTGGAGCGCCCCCACTCGCACCTCGTGAGGGCGTCCAGGGTGTCGCTGTCCGCGTTCTCCGCGGCCACTGCTATCTCGCCGCGGTCCTGGCCGGCACCGGCCTCCGCGCGCGCGGCGGCGAACAGGGGCCTTGTCGCGGCCACCTCCACCGACAGGCCCCCCAGCTTTGGCACCGGCCACCGGCACAGAAGCTTGGGGGCCGCTACGCCCAGCGTCCGCCGGCCGACAGCCTGGCTCGGCCCGGCCGCAGGCGGCAGCCCGTGCGCCTGCGGGCGCAGCTGCGCGCGCCTCCGCGGGCGGCCAGCCGTCGGCGGGAGCCACTCCAGAGTGGGCGCGGACCCGGCCTGGGCGGCCCCAGGCGGGCGGTCCGCTTGGCCGCGGCCCTCTACCTGGCAGCGGCTGCGCTGCGACCCCGGCTCGCCCCCATCTCTGGAAGGCGCGTCCGCCGGGTTGAACTCAGACATAATCCAGCGGAAATATGGACGGATGTTGTGAATAAGACAAAGAGCACGAAACCGTCGGATCTGCTGTAGCACCACATAGATATTGCACCTACCCCGAGCGAACGAGAGAACGATGGCCGCATTGTCCACCAGGAACAGGTCACGACTATTAGCGATTCCCTCGGCGATTTGGCTCTCCAGGCCCAGAACCAGAGCTCGAGCTTCTAACTCCGGAATGCGTTCTCCGACCTTCCACTTACCCTTCCCAGTAACTCTCCTAGGTGATATCAAATCGCCCTCAGCGAAGTAGTCCCGGGCTGAGAAGAGACCCCCCTCCCCGAACGGCACCTCCGGGAACGAGCTGCCGACCATCCACTCCTCCTCCCCCGACGACATGGGCAAGGCCTCTCCGATGTCGGTGATGTTGGCTGTGTCTATGAATGGCGGCGGATGATGAGTTTCGTCATCGTCGCGTAATGGATACAGTGCTGCGCTCGCAGCGGCGCGAGCTCCAAGGCCATGTACACGACGGAACCGCGAAACCTCTGGGACGCGAGCGACGCTAGCCACAGCATCGGCCGTCAGCGCACAGCGGCAGTGCCCCCATCCCTCGAGAGAGGCATCCGTGGCCACCACCGGCCCGCACCAGGGCAAATCCCGTGGTGCGCGAACCAGCGGCAGTAGCCCGATGAAAGCCTGGAGCTCCTGCCTCACGGTCGGCCACACGACGGCCATGCTGTCGCCATGCCGATGCATGAAGGCGTAGCAGGCGTTAAGAACGCTCAGTGCCGTGCGGCCCAGCAGGCTCACGAATGCGGCGTGGCCAACGAGCCTCTCCTGCTGCTTGCCACTGAGGCGGCGGCGCCGAAGGGCCCAGCGGAAGGCGCCATCAATGCGCCACCTCCGCTTCTCGGCCACCCGCGCCTCGAGCTGCCGGCCACCCAGCAGGCGCCCCAGCGTCTCGCCTCCTCTTGCCATCAGCTCGTGCTCGTGCGTCTTGAGCCCGACCGCCCCCAAGGCCGCGCAGCCAGCGCCGAGCGCCAGCTGCACCGGGGGCTCGGCCCCTCCGAACACGTCCAGGTTGTCGACGTACAGGGCGTACTGCACCTCGCCGCCCTTCCGCAGAACGATCGGCTCGGTGTGGTCCGTGATCCTCCTGCTGGGCCCGAGCTGCGAGACCCTGCCCAGCACCGCCTCGCTGCAGCGCTGGGCGACCCACAAGGACCATGTGAAACCAATGGGAAACGAAGCCAAGCACGGGTATATGAGGACGCCCCGCCCTACGGCGTCCCGCAGCTCGGTGTACTTGGCGGGGATAGGCCGCAGAGCGAAGCACCGATGCATACCGTCGGGCAGCCGCAGCCGGTGGAAGCAGTTCCCCACGTCCCCCACCCCCAGCGTGAAGCCGAACCCAGGGTCGCCCACGAACCCAGGCTCGCACTCTATCCTGGACAAACCCTCGCTCGTGATCAGATCGGTGTGCGGAGGGGTCTTGAAACGACGGTTCCCCCTTCTCGCGTCGATGATGAGCCTCAGGATCTCATCCCTCTTGCCGACGAAGAAAAGGCCAGCATGCTCGATGGGGTCAAAGGTCCACTTGATCATGCCCCGCCGGTCGAGGTCAAGGATGAACTAGCCTCTCGTTGAGCTGTCGCAACTCATCAGAAAACCGCATCATGCTCTGTTGCCAACCCTCGATAATCAGGCGGTCCTCAGCATCCAGCACCGCCGTCACGTCGGCTGCATCGTGGACGTGCTCGGGGAGCGAGACGGAACCAAACTCGTAGGGCACGACGGTGGCATGGGTCTCCTCGGCGTCGTAGCTGAGGTGACCACGGAGAAGCACACCAGCGGCTTCTTCCTGGGAAGGCGCTGTCGCTGGCTTCGCAACGACAGGGGCGACAAGGGCCGCCACGGCCTCCATCTCGAATTCAGAGGCGCCTGAGCACGCCGAAGTCCGCGCACCCAAGCACCAGTGGAGCGCGTCCACGGTCTCGTTCTTGCGCCTCCGCACCTCCACGCCACGCCCATGTCGGTGTCGGGACCGGCGGGAAGCACCACCCAGCCTGGCCGGGACGTCGAAGGCCGGCAGGCGCCGATGCACCCCCATGCAGGACCTGAAAGAGGCGGCGGGGGCCGGTCCGAGTCCCCCGCCGCGCGCCTCGCTCATTTAGGCGGCGGGGGCGCGGTGAGCCTGGCCTTGGCGTTCATCTTCGCCCTGCCAGCTCCGCGACCCCCGCCCCCCCTGCTGCCACCTGCGGCTGCGGCCAGCTCGGCCGCTCCTGCGCCATCGTCCCCCCCGTCCTCCACGTGATTCAGGGAGAGGCCCACACGGTGCACGCTGCCCTCCCTCCTCTTCTCCTTGAACCTCTTGGCGCCGTACAACCGCGGGTCGGGTGCCACCACGTTCTCCAGCATCGCGGTGCCCGAGTACACCTTGGCCGCGGGGTAGTTGAGCTTTGCGCCCGGCGCCGAGTGGGCCCCCACGATGGTCTGCCACCTCCGCATCGCCCCCTCCACCCCCGCCAGACACAGCAGGGACGCTAGGTCGTGGCACCCGACCATCTCGAAGCTCTTGGCCAGCCCCCGCAGCGCGTGCCTCCCCCCTGCGAGCCCCAGTCGACCTTGAGCACCCGCCCGTCGAAGGGCCCCCCCTCGCCGTCTGGCGGCGGCCCCGCCGGCGGCGGGAGGGGCGGTGCACCGCCAGGGGGTCGCTTGGACAGCGGGCAGCCGGCGCCCGCCGCGCCCGCGCCCTGGCCCCCCGCCTCCCGAGGGGAAGCGGCGACAGGGCCGTCGTCGGACGCGGGGGCTGGCTCGGGCGGCCCCCGCGGCGTAGGCGGCGAGAGCTGTGCCCACCTCTGGGCCTCGAAATCCTTGAAACTGAGCTGCGGGTCGACGGCCATCACCGGCACCCCCTGCCCGTCGCCCGTCGCTGCCACCTCATGCGGGCGCCCCGCGCGCACAGGCATCCGCGGCTCGCCGTTGGCGCCTATCTCCCCGAAGTCCACCCCTGGCTCCGACACGCGCCAGGCAACCGCAGGCGGACCCCCAGCCTCGGCGCCATGGAGGGCCGCCGCAAGAGGGCCGCCTCCGAGGTCGCCCCCAGGCACGGCCCGCGCCCGCGAGGCCGCCGTCTTGGCCGCGACGACCTTCTCGCATAGGCAGGTATCCTCGCCATAGGCGCCCCCGTTGGCTGCGTATATCAATCAGCAGGAGGCTGACGGAGGCCAGACTCGCACCCGCTTGTGACCCCACGTATCACCCTCGAAGAGCCCCACGAAAGTGCGCCCGGGCCAGGGCGCAGTGCGCTCGACGATCGCCATACTGCCACGGAGTCGAGCGACACCCACAGGACGCCAGCACCCCGCTCGCGAAGGCCGCCACCGCCCCGAACGCCAGCTGGAGCTAGTTGACCGAAGCCGTCGCCCGCGCCGACTCGTACTCGAGCACCGGCGCTGGCTCGCACTCCTGCACCGAGGGGGGCCCCTCAGTCTCTGGGCAAGGCTCGGGCGCCGGACAAGGGGTGCACTGATCGCACTCGAAGTCCGAGGGCACCTCCTCCAGCACCTCGGCGGGGGCTGGGCAGACGGGGCACGGCTCGCACTCGCACAGCTCGTCGATGACGGCCGGGCAATCCGTGAACAAATCGAAAACGCCCGACTGGTTCACCAACTCCCCCACGCACCTCTTGGGTGCCGGGCAAGGGGCACACGATACACTCCCCGACGAATCGCCCTCAGCGCCAGCTGCACCGCCAGCGTCTCGCTCCAGGGCCCGCGGCCAGCGCCCAGGCGCCGCGTCAAGCGCGAACTCCACCAGCCACGGCGAGCACTCCAGAGCTAGGCCAGGCCGCTCTGAGAACAGCGTCCAAAGCCCTGCCAGGCATGGCGCGGCGAGGGCGGCCCACGCGCAGGGGCGGGGCATGAGCGCCTGTACTGAGGCGAGTGACGCTTGAGTCGCAGTGATTGCGGACCCGCCCCCCCCTCCTTCACGTGCACGCACCCCCAGGCTGGCCTTACTGCTGTTCTGGAAAGTTTGGTGGTCGCGAAAAACCTCGCCGGCCTTCTCGCGCACTCGAGCCCTGCACCAACCTGCGAAGGTGGACCACAACATATGGGCCAACGCGACGGGAAGCGCGCCGCCCTTGCTGGTCGCCGAGAGACCACTGCGCCACAGGTAGTAAAGGCTGGCGGAGCCGACAACGTCGCACGGCCGACGCGACATTCGGGCACTCCGCACGCTCCTGCGACCCAACGTTGGGGCGAGAAAGGGACCGTGGGACAATCTGGATAGCGTGGATAAGGAGAAGAGGGGTAGGTGGAGGAGGGGGAGGGAGGAGAAAGAGGAGGGGGGAGGGGGAGGAGGAGGAGGAAGAAGAGGAGGAGGAGAAGGGAGGGGCCCGAACGACTCACCCGAGGCCGACGATGACGAGGAGGACGAGGGGGAAGATGAGGGGAGGAAGAGGAGGGAGGGGCCGGAACGACTCATCCGAGGCAGATGAGGAAGAGGAGGAGGAGGAGGAGAAGGAGGAGGAGGACGACGAGGAGGAGGAGGGGGAGGGGGTGGAGGCCAAGTTAGGCGCGCTCGCGTCAACATCTGACATCCCCCCCCCCCCATCCCTTACCATGGCGCTGATTTTCTCGATATCCGCGGGCGCGTGTCGTAGCGGACCTGTGGCCCCGCGCCCGCGTGCGTAGTGGGTGGTGGTGCGCGTGCGTGCGTGTGCGTGTGTGTGCGCGTGTGCGCGTGGCTGTGGTTGTTGTGGTGGTGGCGTGCATGTGTGTGTGCGTGTGCGCGCGTGTGCTGTGGTGTGACGTGGTGTGGCGTCTTGGTGGTTTGGTGGTGGGCCAGGTGCGTATGCGCGTGATGGCGGTGGCGGTGGTGGCGGTGGTGGTGTGCGTGTCTGTGTGTGCGTGTGTGTGTGAGTGTGCAAGTGTGTGACTGTGTGAGTGTGTGAGTGCGTGGATGTGAGTGCGTGAGTGTGCGAGTGTGTGAGTGCGTGAGTGTGTGAGAGAGTGTGTGTGTGTGTATGTGCGTTTGTGTGTGTCTCTGTCTGTGTCTGTGCGTGCGCGCGCGTGCGTGCGTGCGCGCGCGCGTGCGCGCGCGCGTGTGTGCGTGTGTGTGTGTGGGGGGGGGGGGGATGCGTGTGTGCGTGTGTGTGTGTGCGTGTGTATGCGTGTGAGCGTGCGTGCGTGTGTGTCTGTGCGTGCGCGCGTGTGATGTGGTGTGACGCGGCGTAGCGTGGTGATGGTGGGCGGGGTAGTGCGGCGGTGGCGGCGGTGCGCGGTGGTGGCGCGCGCGAACTGCAGACGCACTGGCGGGGCACCTGCGAATTCCAGCTGCATCGTCTCCAAATCCATCTGAATATCTGACACCCACACCACCTGGTCGGTCGGAGCCTCCGCGCGCGGGCGCTTCGCGAAGTAGTCAGCGAAGCCGCCGCGAAGCTGCGGCACGGGAGATGTCGCGCCGCACTCGCCCTGCACGTGGCAGGCGCATGCGCGAGGGCCCCCATCGCCCATGAGCACCGCAATTCTGTCGTCGTCTGGGTGAGGCACGATCATAATAAAAGGGCCGTCTTGAAAAACTGCTCCGTCCCCGTAGACCACCTCGCGCGCTCCTGCGATCTCGCCGTAGATGACCTGCTTCGAGCCGAAGTCCCACAGAGACCATTGCGCCGAGGCCATGAGCAGCGCAAAGCTTGTCGCTGTCATGGAGTTCGCACCACGTCCTTGAGCCGAGAAGGCTGCGTCTCCAGAAGGCATGCTGTAGCGGGCCGCGGCGGGCGCCCCCGAGAGGGGCCCGAAGACAGGCCAAGAGACCCCCCGGACGACTGAATACGGCCGAACGACTTTCGAATTACCTCCGAAGCACGGTTCATTCACGCCTCATGAGGGCCCCAAGAAAGGCCCAGAATGGTTACCACGAACCAGAAATTCTACATTTCGGCTCCGAGAGGCACCAGGACGGGGTCGGACCCACAACCCAGGCGCGCCGGCGGGGCGGGCCCAAGGCCAGAATGGGCCCGCCGCGGAAAAAAAAGGAAAGGGGGTCGAGGAGGGAGGGGGCGGACGCGGGGGGAGTCAAGCGCGGGGGGAAGGGGGCGGACGAGAGGGGGGGGGCGGACGTGCGAGGGAGGAGACCATGCGCCGGCCGCTCTCCCACCTCTCACTGCTCGCCTGTGCCGCCTCGGCACTCGCTTCCTGTTGCGACGCGCGCGCGCCTTGGGCCAGCGTGCATGCGGGGGGCGCTGGGAGGTTTGAAAAATCCGAAACAGATTCCGAAAAGTGAAGGGGGCGAGAAGCTTCGGGAGTGCAGGGGGGCGGCAGCAGGGCGCGCGAGAAGCGCAGGGCACGCGAGAAGCCCAGGAGCGGCGCGCAGCCCTCATGGGGCCAGGACGCCAGGCACACCAACGACCGAACGACAACGACGGACGGGGGGATTGGAGGCGCGAAGCGGGCGGCGGGGGAGACGAGCGAAGACGAGGATAGAGGAAGGAGGGCGCGAGAGGGGGGCGCTCTCTCTAGCGCCGCCGCTGGCGGCCGCGAAGTCGCGTCTCGAGAGGCGGCGGGCCTCTCGCGTCGAGGCCATTTGTGGGCCTCGAAAGCGTCTTCAAAAATGCTGAGCCAGAACTCCCAGCAAACAGCCCCCAGCGCCCCTCAAGCGCGCCCGACCCCCGCCCTCTCGCCAGACGCCCCTCGCCGTTCCCGACCTTGTCTGCTGGAAGGTCTGGCTCCGCGACGAGCGAGCCAGGCCCGCTGCCCGACGAGCGAAGCGTTCTCGCCGTCGACGGCGGCGCGGAGGCCCCACGGCGAAGCCGCGGAGCCCGCCAGCGGTTATGCCAGGAGTCGCGGCTGCTGGGCGCGTCGCTGGCGCGCAGGCCCCCAACGCCCTCGCCGCCCTTCTTGTCTTCGCTTTTTCCCGCCCTTCGGGCCCGCCCAGTTGATGCGCCGATCCTAGCGCCCCTGGCTCGGCCCGCAGTTTGGGTCGCTGCGGCGAGGTCGCAGCCTGCGGGCGGGCGCGCGGCCCACCACCTGCGCGCGCGCCGCCCCCCTTCCCCGCTCACGCAGCGCAGGCTCAGCGCCGCCCCCCGCCCCTCCACCCAGAAACTGTGTTTCTTCCCCCCCCCCCCCCCCAGGAAAGAACCTCATGTCCTCCAGGCCGCCCCGAGCCCACCCCTGCCCCCCTTGTTCACTCCTCCAGGGCCCCCCTTTGCCAGCGACGCCAACCCCCTCGCGGCCGCCGCCCTCGCACCTCGTTGGCCCAGGCGGCGCCCAGCGGCGCGGCCCCGTCCTCGTTCGGCAGGTTCGGGCCCGCCCTGAGCTCGAGGAGGGCCCCGACCTGGCTCGTCGCCGCTGCGCCGGCGGCCTTGAAAAGCGGGGGCGCGCGGCGACCCCCCCCCCCCCCCCATGTTGATGTCGGCCACCTCTTCAACCAACATGCGGAGCATGGTGCACTTCTCAACCTACCCCGACTTCTCCTGCGCGATGATGCGGGGGGGCGCCCAGCCGTGAACGCCCTTCTCGTCCGGCATCTGCGGCGCGATGCGCACGGAGAGCTGATCCATCACGTCAGGCATACCAGGCCCGCTGCCATTCCTATATGCGTTAACAATGTTGAAGCACTGTAGCGCTGGAAATGTTTCGTCGCTTGTGTTTCTGCTCTCTTTCTTGCTATGCGCGTGGCTTACGCCGTTGCGCGTTGATGCCGCGCGCGCCTTCACGCCGCTTCGCCGCAGCACTCCAGCAAAAGGTTGGCGCCCTCTGCGGCGACGGCGTCGTTGGGCCCCACGCGCACGCAGCGGGGGAACGCCGGCAGTTCCTGGCGAAGCTCGTGCCCAGGCTGGTCGCTCTGGTCCGCGCGCGCGCGCCCCCCCCCCCCCCCCCCCCCCTTGCCTGCGGCGGCCCTCCTCAGGAAAGCAGGCGGCAGTCCTGGCGGCGGCCCGGGCCCGTCTCGCCCGTCCGCGGAGCTGCTGGCAGGCGCCTGGAGGTGTCTGCGGAGCCCTGCTTGCGGCCGCTTTCTGGCCCCCCTCTTTCGGGGGCGGCGGCGTCGCAAGCGCACGAACCTTCGGGGCTGCCGCCGTCGGAGGTGGAGCTGCAGGCGCGGCAGCTGCACGGGCTGCTGCACCTGCTGCGGCTGCCTCTGCAGG